TTTGTTCTTAATTGACATTGTTTTTATCCTTTTACCTCTTAAAGCACTTTAATTGTGAGATGAGCGCTAAAAGAAGTAAAAAAGAACTAAGTGTGGGGTCTTTTGAGTGGAACCAATAAAAGGGAGAAAGGTGCACTTGTTTTGTAGAATAATACACCTCTAGCGGAAATTGAAAAAAAAAACAAGAAGAAGGAAAATATAGGTGAATAAATTGTTGGCTTGTTCTTGCTAGTGGGGTATAAATTAAAGTGGTGATTAAAGAAAGAGGGAACATTGTTGGGAGTGATTTTAATTGTGAAATTGAAGTTGGGATTGAAGAATTTGCGCTCAAAGTGATTATGTGATGTGTTAAAGTGCTTAGGAGGGTGAACCACTATTCCTAAATATATCCTACCCGTCCCTTAGCTCACATTACAACCATGAAAAAGTCGTAATTGATTTTAGATCGAGTGAGCCTACATTAGTAGCGATTTACATTAAGGGCAAGCTTATGGTACCAAGTACATGCATGTGACTTCTTTTGTGAGTGTGAGCGATTTTCTTTGATATATGTGAGCATGAGATTCAAATGTATGGATTGAGTTTATTTTCTTTATTGTGAGTGTGAGGGCATGTGATTCGTGAAGGAAAGGCAAGTCTTGACTTTTGTGTAGAGTACTTTGAGGAAGTATAAATATTGCATGGCACTTGAGAGTCGACTTTTGAGGCTAGGATTGTTCACTGCTAGGCGTAATGTATGTAAATTGTTCTAGGTGTAATGCGTTAGGGGAAATGGTTGAGTGAAGGAACCTCTAGAAAGTATAGTGTGATTGCTCGAGGACTAGCAATGAATTAAGTGTGGGGTGTTGATAATAGGCTAAATCTAGGTAATTTGGCGATTGTTTATGCTCCCGCTTAGTTAAATTCCAATGTCATAGTATGGTTAATTGATGAAAAATAGGCTCTAATTGTGAATTGTATACATTGCAGGATGAGGAGCCTACGTGATGCCTTAAAGTTGTGATTGGAACTATTTTGGAGCAAGAAAGACCCTTCGGAGATGAGTACACTTGAAGACGAGAAAAACAGAAGTGAGGAAACAAAGTGCTGGGCTAGCGCGCCCAGATGCGCGCCCGCGCTAATTTTAGCGCGTTCAAAACAGTACGTTGTCCAACTAGCGCGGTCAGATGCGCGCCCAGGTGCGCGACCGCACTAGTCCAAGTTTCGGAAAGTGTTTGTCAGGGGTATAATTGGAAATATGAAGGAAATCCCACTTAACCTATATAAAGTCAAGCTCTCCCAAGGATTAGCTATCAAGGTTTTCATAGTCTAGTGAAGGAATAGAGAGGCAAGAGGCAAGGCAGAGATTTTGATCATCAAGTTCTTCTTTTCTTCCCTTGGTTTTTGCTAATTGTGATGAAATTGAACCTTATTGTGATGAACACTAGTATGAGTGGCTAAACACCCATTGTTCTAGGGTTGTGATTTAGCCATGAATATTGTTGTTTGATATTAGCTTGACCTTGATTATAATTCACCAATATATGGTTGTTTCTTCAATTCTGTGTTTAATTGCTTAATTGTCTGGCCAACAGTTAGGTTCTATTTACTATCTATGCTATGCTTGGGAAAGCCATGTTTAGATTAGAGAAGAATTGAAGAGAGCATGATCTTAACCCTTAGGGGGAGCGGATTTGTGGTTAGGATAGGAATATACCTAGTCACCGTGCTTAATTAAATATCGTAATCTTAATGCGTTCTTAATAGATTGATTTCATAGGAATATAGGCGTTAATCTATTGAGAATAGGTGAGTAGTACTTCGGGAGAAGGCTATGAGAGCATTTATCGATTAATTAGTAACCATGAGTGAATTATATGAAATGGAGAGTTAATTAGAACACAATACGAATGGTGAATCGATCACAACCCTGGAATACTTATCTACTGAATACACAACAATCAATTCGTTACTTGATAATTTAGTTATTACTTAGAATCGTAGTATAATATAATCACATTATTGGACTTTGATTTTAGCTGGATTGAATAACAATTTTAGTAATTACGTGAGTAGTTTACACAAGTCTCTGTGGGTTCGATACTCAACTTATCATTATATTACTTGTCGACCACGTATACTTGCGTGTGCGTTTGGAAGCAACAGTGACTGATGGTCAGTGATGTATATATTCCTGGATGGATCTTCCCTGGGCCAAATGGGCCATATACAGTACCGAGTGATTAAGCATGATGAGTGAAAAGTGTGAGACAGTGAGATTGAGTACTCTGAGAGTGTGAGTACATGATTCATCTCTGAGATACATGGCATTGGCATGCACGCATGACATACAGGCATAGACATGCATTTTTTCCTCGTGATGTACGGTATCACGTCATCCATGACTTTTACACACATCGATATGTGGCATAAAGAGGTATTTCACACTTGTTATGTGGAAAGAAAATGAAACATCTTATTTATTGTGAAAAGGATTTTTAGAAAAACTACAGTTTTCAAACTATCTCATATTTTACGACGATTTCGGTAAAGGGTTTTAGATTCACTGATATTCTTGAAAGCGGAACTACTTTCGGAAAACTGTGAAAAAGCTGAACATTTTATCTTTGAGTTACTTCCTCATTTAAATGCTCTACGTTGTTATGAACTGCTGTTGGTTATTGGTGTTGGACCCAACCTATGTTCTAGCTCGTCACTACTTTCAACCTAAGGTTAGGCTTGTTACTTACCAGTACATGGGGTCGGTTGTACTGATACTACACTTCTGCACATTGCGTGCAGATATTGTCTGTTGTTGTTGCTATGTTCGATGGTTGCTGGATTTGAAGATGTACCTGCGTTCCGTTGTAGCTGCCTCTTGTTCATGGTAGTCGTAGATTTATAAAAACTCTGTTTATGTACTTTTCAAACAGAAGATGTATTTACTTCATATCAGCTTTGTAAATTGTATTCGTAGATCATGATTTGTACTACTAGTCCTTGGGAAAGTGTATAAGATTTAGATAATTTTCTTGTTTAAACTGCCTTATTAAATATTATGGAAATTGGATAGTATAGTTGACTTACCTAACAGGTCGGTTAGGTGCCATCACGACTAGTGAATTTGGGTCGTGACAGCGTTCATGAACTAAAACTTGCTAAACCAACTGCCATATCTAGCCACGTCAAAATTTCACGAAAACGATATCCTAGGCATGAAAAAGAACTCTAATAATTTCATGGCTTTGCTCCAGCACTATATTTTTCGCTATTTACTCACCTAAAATTTAGATAGGCATGTGATATCTTAAAAAGTCAAGAGTCCCCATCAATGAACTTGCTGACTAGCTAACAGTCTAACAATCAATATTGCAAAAGTATGACAGCCAATTTTCCACTGAAAGTCGATTAGGATTTGAGAAAACACCAAATCTCTTGAAAGATACCAAATAATTGTCTCCATTTGGCTCCTTTTTTTATAGCTAACAAGTACTGTTTCAATGGTTGTAACATGATAAATTAGTTAGAAATTGTAGCCTTCTTGATTGGCCGTAAGCACCTTTATGAATCTTCATCTAAAATCATAAAAGGATCTTGGGTGGAAATGAGGCTACTTATGGTTTGTCCTCGTCAAGATTTCTTTTTGAAACTTTTTCCCAACTTTTACATGATTTGTCAAGATGGTCTATCATTCTGCGAGCTCAAAAAGTGGGCTAAAAGAAACAAATCCTATTAGTCATACACTAATATATTATAACAAGAATATTACGCTAATGAAGTATTGATAACTAGCACAAAGTATATACGTTCTCCAAAATTATATATATGCTTATCTTTTAGCTGACTTCACGTGTGGATCATATCAATTCAAAGGAGTCAGTGTTACAGTTTTAGGTGATAAAATAGATAGTGGCAAAAGAAAGAAAAGATATGGACCATATGGTTAAGTATGAAAAACAACCTTATCCCCACAAACACGAGTTGCAGGCTTGCAGCGTAGTAAACTAGGAAGAACTGGAACGAAAAAGGAAAGAAAGGACGAAAGAAGGAAGACAGGAAAATTATACATCGCAAGAGAAAAGTGGATGATTTTCTCACTTTCTGTTCTTTCTCTTTTTGTAGCGCAATGTATATGGGGTCAGTATTTTAGGTACTTTAAGGTCTTTTTGGTGCTCATTAATTGACAAGAGGAAAGTAAAAGAAAATAGGCACATGAAATGAAGAGTATAAAAGTGAAAATGACTCGAGTCTCGAAATAATATACTCCTACTAATTATCTTGATAGAATTGATTGAAGTAAAATTAGAAACATATCTTAACAAGGAATAAAAGAATGGTTCAGCCAAAAAAAAAAAACTGAAATCATGAGTTTATTAAAATTAGGTAATGATTTAACCGGAATTCTGTGTAAATAAGCTTTTCTATTTGTACAGTAAGGGCGGGGCAGGGTGAGATTAAAAGGGACAGGACGTGGGTGTTGCTTTCCATGATTTAACAAGATAACCTCCTCACAGGGACCACACTCCTCTTGCAAATCCTCTGCCCTGTTATCATGTTCTCGTTCCAAATTTCCAATACATGATTTAGGAAGGGACGAATCTTCATATGTTCTATCCCCTATGGTTTTATGAATGTGATTATCACTGTACTTTCTATTCATTTGAAATAACATATAATTCAAGTAGATGACAATGTGACATATCTATTGCTCAAAAACTGCATTCTTCGCTATCTTCCAAAACCTCTAATAAATTCGTATATAAATTTGCTTGCATCGAGTGTAAATACTAACCAAATATATGCACGACATAGCTTTGTACACATATTTTTCTCACTTATCATGGTTAATGAAAATGTATTTTCAGCTTATTAGATCACTTAATCATGATAAATTTAATTTGGTGTAAGCAATATCAGGTAAGTTTTAACAGTAATACAAGCGCAAATAAAGAAGCTTTCCTAAGGGCCGTAATGTACTCCAAGTTTGAGGGCGAGGGAGTGGGGCTCCTCCATTCGATCTCTCTAGATCTTGATGATCATTTTCTCTAGCTTTGATGTATATGCAAATTAGGATACAAAGTATAGTATGTGTTTGCCTTAGCAGTCAAAGGTGCATTAAATTAAGTTACATTATTGGTGGGCTATCTTTTTCATGCAAAGGAGTATTAGTGTTATATGGGAGGAACTATAACTATTACTTCCGTGGGAGAAACTAGAAAGTGGTCCCATCAATTATTTAGCTTTTCGTATGTGCATTTCCAGAAAACCAACATTTATTAAGGACTTGTTTTGCTTGCTTGAGTTGTTGATGTTACCAGATTACCAGTCGAGCATTGGAGGATTGCATGGGATGGGCCGACGATCTCGGGCTTAACTTGACTTCCGCTACACAGTTTACCTATAAGGGCTTTGCCACGACGGCCTATCCGGCTCAAGTTTTCTCAGGTAGGAAAGAAAAAGGTAGAAATGACACCAGGTAGCCACTCTAAAGGACTGCTATTTAGAAATTAACCAGTGCATCCTGAATTTAAGTTAGGATTTTTAGTTTAAAATTTCAAAACAAAATAAGTACCGACTAATCTCTAAATAGCATCTCTGAGAATGGTTATTTGTGCACTTGCCCCAATCCCTATGCTACCATTTGATTTGGGGAGGTCAATTGTTAGCTTTTCTTTCCACTTTCTTTGTCCCTCTTTCTGATTTGTAAAAATAAAGAGTAGAGATGATCTGTAGAACTTGCTGATGTACAATAAGCAGAATTGCTGCGCATTGGTTTGTAGAATCTCAATAAAATCTTGAAAGTATTTACACTTATTTTGGACCGGAGGGAGTATTATCTTTAAAAGAAACGCAGATAAAAATTTCACACTGTACCTTTTCATTTGGCCAATTGTACGGAAGACTTTTTCCGATGACAGGTATAGGGATTATAATAGGCGATGCGATTGTCCTTTAAGTTTATGAGTGACAAAACAGGAAAAAATCTGATTTGTTCTTGGTAAAGAACGTATGTGATACTCTGCCAAAACCTAAGTTTAATGGGGCAAGATGTCGCTAACAACAACAAATGCAATCGATCCGTTGGCAAAATCCATCCTGGCTTAATTGACTGTAATTCTGACAAAACAGATTTGTCCTGTCCAAAACGTATTGCTCTAAAGATCTTTTAGTCTTAATCATCCCTCATTAGGCATTTCGAAAATAAGTCTATTTCTTCCAACAATTCCCTTTTCCCACTTTCAGATCTTATAGACTCCACACTATTAGATGGTTGAGTTGTCATGAGCCTAATGAGAAACTGACAAACTTTACCCAAGTAATCTGAAGCAGCTGCTACGTTCAGTGTCTTCTCCTCTGCCCCATAATGTTGAAGTTTGTCTGTGTAGATACATTTTTTACATTCCTGCCAGGTAAACATAATATGGAATTCCATTATTTCTTCAATCAGATCCTTAAAGAGAACAACTGCATTTTTTCTTTTCATTTTTCATTCTTTTTCAGTAAAAAAGAAGTGATCTTCAAGATGCCAGATCACAATGGGAGCTAATGAACTTTCGGAGATAAAGAATCTTTTACCTGAAATACTTTATTTAGAGCAGCAATTTGTTCATCATTCAGAAAACCATGTTTAAGCAACTCCCTTAAGAGAAGCACCAGCTCAGCACTCAAATTACAGTTTGTAATGTTTCTAGTAATGGCAGATATGCAAGATTCATCAAAGATTGAAGCCATCCATTGAGGAATTTCCTTCCTTCTCAGCAGTGCAACTGCAATATGAACTGTAGGCTTGTAATGGAGCATGAAAACTTTTGAAGCCAAAGATGGTGCTGCCAAAGACATCACTAGCTCTTCTACTATAAAGCGACTCCAGTTGCTCCTTTGTATAGCTGATACTTCCATTTCCGCATCTTGCCACCGGATAATTATAGACAAACAGAGGGAACAGTTCATTGCGACTGTTATGTCACTTGAGAATATTTGGCCTTCTAAAACAGCCATTACAGACGACAAATAATGAGTTCTGAATTTTAACGTGTCCGGTTTTCTACTCCTCTCATCTTCTATCCGGCTGAATAACTCCAGCAGGTATTGCGAGGAAAGCAACTTAATAGGGATAGATCCGAAATGCAATAACTTGCACAAATCGTGGCAGTGTATACTAATATGGGGCCAGGGTTGTGGAATGCTGGTAGGATCCAGCAGATATTGGCAGTCCATAATCCCCGGTAAAACAACATGCAAACTAGTAAAATAAAGCTGTTAGTTACGGAACTCCAAAAAAAAAGATAGGAACTGTGTTAAAGGAACGGATCTACCTTTTCAAAGAGAAGAAAAGCAGCGAAAGCACAAAAACAAGAACTTCTCCTGATCTCATTCCTTTGTCTTGGTCAACTAGAGAAGGTACCTTGGAACAGGCATTGGCGATTGTGGTATTAACCAATGATAACAAAGGAGTACTAAGGAGTATGGTTTTTGAAGCTTCAACCATCACTTGATTTGCTGAGTGGTGCAAAACCATAGAAAGAATTCCAAGTGATATAAGAGTTGCTGGAGCCCATCCATCTGCAGCTACTGAGGGAATCAGGTAGTCGATAATCTGAAATCAAGGCAAAGGTCCACTTACTAAAGAGGAACTGGAAGCAAACATTATTTAAAAGAGTGAGTACTATACTTTCACCACAATTGCAACCCAGGGTTCATCATCGGAGAGGGATTCAGAGTGTACTGCTTGAAAAATGCAGAATACTAGTTCAGAGGTGGCCATGAAAGTATCTGGGGATGAAGAATGACCAAACTTATAGTACAGGTTCTTAATTGCACCAGCTATCCCATGCATGCAGAACTGATCTGAAGCACTGGGTGAGATTTCAATTATATGTATTATGGTATTCACCAATGAAACAATGTCATACTCGGAATATTGTTCTTCAATCTCTCCCAATAAGAACACCATGAGCATAGCTAAAAAGTTATCCGCCGAAGCTACAAGTTCTGCCACAACATACACATCTATCTTCTGATTGGCTTCACCATGTATATTTATCTGGGTTACTTCGGAAAAATTGCTTCTGCAGAATTTCAACATCTGGGCAGACAGCACGTTGCATATTTTCTCTTGTTGGAACAACCATTTCAAAGCTGTTACATGGATTCTTGTAGATAGCAAATCCCAGTCCTTTTCAGAAAGCAGGTGGAACACAATCTTTTCAGCCTCTGGACTATAGGGGATTTGGTAGCTCACCTTAGCTAGACCCCTGTAGAGTGCATATAGATTTATAAAAATTCCCAAAACAGAAGCTCCATGAGTGTTTTCGCTGCTGTTAAGTAGAATGTACTGCTCCAGTGAAGCTAACACAAGCTTATCATCTGCAAGCCTGGCAAAGGGTTGAAATGATCAACTGAGGACTAATCACATAAGCAGGGAAAATGTAGAAAGAAACAATTTACCTATCATCATATAGTGAGCTGATGTACAGTAACAGCAGAACTGCCAGTTGCCAAGAAGACAATTCAAGATTTTGGGAGCTTTTATGGCCCAGAAGTAAAAGCAAATCTACAGGGTCAGATGGAAGATATGGAGCAGCATCCCTAATGCTTCGCCCAGAATCATCCCCAAGGATGATATCGGTCATCACACTAAAGATAAGATAAACCTTCATTTTCATCTTTTCTGAAGGCAAAAAACCTAAACATCCATATGCAAAACTGAACCAGGATGACGTGAACAGAACATTTGCAAATATTTTGGTTTCAATATCTGACTCTTGTAGCAATATGGAATAGAAGTTTTCAAGAATTGCAACTGCAATATCCTCATCTTCTATCTCATGGAGGGATCTCATAAACCAAGGTAATATATGTGTTTTACATACATCTATAATGCTTCTTCTAAGTTCTGTGTTGATGGAGCTTGTGGGATTCATCCCGCAACTATATGCATATGCCTCTTTCAGTAGGTGAAGAGAGTTACAAAACTGACCTGGGTATTTGCGATAATTAATTAAACAAGTTAAGATGCAATTTCTTGATGCCTCCTGAATTGATAGTAAGAAACTTGAAATCTCATAGGAAGATGAACTTTTCATAAGTGCAACAAGTATTGAACAGGCCAGAGTGAATGTCTCTGGAAGCATGCCTATTTCTCCATCAAGATTTTTCTTGAGCATCCCCGTCAAAGAAAGGCTTATTTCCTCCACATGAGACTTGGATACCACCCCAGGGCAGTTCTCAATAGAGTTCCAAATAAGCCTGAGTGTCTCGGTCTGTACAGGGTGAAAAGGAATTTCAGCAACATGATGCAGAACTGGAATCAGGGCCATGAATCCGATTCTAAGTCTCTGTCTAAATGCTTGCTCAGCAGTTGCTAAAAGATCAAGAAGCTGAATACAAGATTTAATTGTTGGATCTTTGCATCCTGAAAATTTATATTACTTCATTAGTCATTACAGACAACACTAATTGCGTGTAATCTGACCTAAAATAATTAGAATGTTATCTGTCTCATTGCTGTTAGAGAACTTAGATGCAAAAGATTGTTGAACCATATGGACAACAAACGTTGAGGCCAACATAATTTGTTAATTAGTTTTGTAGGAAAATGCTGTAATCATCAGAGAATTGGTTGTTTTCCAGATAGTTTAGTAGTGAAGAAAAGGGTACATGAAAATAGAGCGTGATTAAAATACCCTCTTTTATCTTCATTTCTTCAAACGAATCCAGTATAAATCTAGCTGATCATGCACTGTCTATTGCTTATCTTCTTACCTGACAATCTCAGCACTTCAAATGCATAATCTGCAATGTTCTCTTCCACAAAAACTTGGATTTCATTTTCTAAGACATCTTTCCCCGTCAGATAGAGGTAAAGTAAATCTAGAGTTGCTATTTGAACTTGATTATCAGAAGAAAGCAGCGGGCCTTTGACTGCCTCTGCAAACAAGATAACTAGAGGCCCATCTGATATCTGCTCATTTGTTTCCATCAAGTGGTCAACATCATAAGAACTCCAGCTCGTTGCTTCAGTCATAGAAGCAGTTTGAAAGAATCCTCTCTGTATCATTACTGTTAAGAATGCTGCATAGACAAACAGTAACACTGGTTTGAAAAATGTGAGAGATGAGATTGTCCTACTGAAACTCTAACCCCAGCAGCTGCTGGCTGTTCTGTTGTGTTTCCTTCTCTTTTGGTGGTGGGGGGAGAAGGGGGTTTAGAAGCCTGAAGAGGATATTATCAGAGTTCTGGTGAAGAGAGCATAGAACTTTGCTTGTCAAGTCAGCAGCAAATAAATTTCAGAAAATCTAAGTTCAAGGAGCAGAAAGAACGAACTGGCATACCTATACAGTTCAAGCGAACAACATCACTTTGAGCTTTCATGAGAACTTCCAATGCTAAATGAAGGAGCTTCGAGAAATGGCCAAATAAACTGGGAGGATAGTCACCATCTTGAGACACATTGAGAAGGAATAATTTGTATAGGACGAATAGGATTTCCCCTTGAATATCTTCACTGTAGTCAAGAAGGAATTGAAAACTCAACATTCTGTTCAAGGCAAAAGGAGATAGCCAAGCTGCTCACTCGTGACAATGGATGCCTGCTTATGTCAAAGTATCCTCAATCTCTTTTACTGTCTTGGTTTCAAGAGTCACCTGGACAATTGAAGACCGCTGACGAGATTGAAAATGAGGGCATCTCTTTCTTCGAAACAAGCATAGGACTGGTCATTTTGATAATCCAAGAGAAGACCTAAGCAGTGAAGCTGTAAAAACAAGAATAATCTTCAATTACACATATAAGAGGAAAATATATTATTGCAAAATAGAAACTGCAAAAGTGCTTTACAAATGAAGGCTGATCGTTTGCCTCACAAAGGTCCAACATGTACAAATTGACAGATACCAGGGAAATAATTTTAACATAGGAACACTAAAAGGTATAATTTCTTCCTCTTTCTTGTTCATTCTAGCTTCTCAATGAGGAAATCAAATTACATCCAACAAATATGTCTATAGAATGAGCAATTTACACATAGAGGTCGTCATCTGATAGGCACCGAATATACTGTGAATCTAGTCCGAAAAAATTACGAATATCAGGAAGAAAACAAGCTTTTGGTGCCATTAAACACAGCTCAAAGTTTAACAAGTTCAGAATCATCCCTTGTTTTCTTCTTTATTTCATACCATCTTTTATATACTTTCTTTCATGACAGACTTCATAGACGTGAACGTCAAAATTCAACCTAAGAGTAATTACCTAACAGGTCTAGCTTTCTACAAGCTGCTCTGGCTAAAACCAATTCTCTCTGGAGTCATCCTGACTGTAACTTTTCAATTAAATCTGCAACCATAATACTGTATCTATGCTTAACCTTCTGCTGTTAGCCGCAGTCACTGAAATTGACAGCAGTTCCAGAATCACTGTTCAAAGCTAACCCTTCACTCAAGCTTTAGTTGATCTTCATTGAAGTGAGATCTTATTGTAATACAGCCAAACGCGGTCTTAATAGAAATCTTAACAAGTTGATCTACAAAGTCATCTTGAAGTAACCGAAAGCTTTACTAATCACAGTCCGTCACCACATAGAGATGCAAATGCTGAAGCACACAATCGAAAACCAAATATTGTACTGTATCGTGGTAATTATCCTTTCTACAACTTCATCCTAAACTACAAGTTCATTGAATCGAAAAATTTAAGAATTAGGATAGATGACATGTTACCGTGTACAACTGTCTCTGACTCCAAGCCAGAGAGCCACTAGAAAGATGATCCACGAGCCGAGTCACAAACTCTGCACGCACATTGCAGTCCGGAGCTTCACACAACTGATGAATAATCAAATCCGTAGTTTGCTTGGCGATGGATTCATCATCGAAGGAAGATAGAACGCCGACGAGAGGAGAGATGAGGAAATGAGAGTGGAATGTGAAGAATGATTGGCGAAAACTCGGTTGCGAAAGAGCAATAGATAACTGGGAGAGAGCGTAGGAAACGTGAACAGTCGGCGATCTCGGATTAGAAATGAGATTGGACAAGCAGAGCAGGCAAATCGACCCGCCTTCATCCGTTGGAATAATCAAAGTTGAGCTATGGCCTTGGGCGCATGTTAACGGTGGTTCTGGTGGTGGCGTTGGTGGTAAGTGGTGGAGGTGAGAGGTGGAGAAGTACATAGTTGTTGTATTGTGTGCGTGAGTGAAGAGACTGATGAATGCGAAAGTGTGTGGGAGTTTTGAATGCAAGGCGGGAGAAAAACAAAATTCGTGAAGCTTGCCTTCTTCCTCCGGAACAATCGCCAGAAGTCACTGTTAAAGTTTGTAAAAACTGAATTTACAAACGCAATTTTTGAAAAGGGAAATTTGCACTATTAATCCCTCAGATAGCGACAGATTCTACTTTTAATCCTTGTAATATCTGATAAAGTAAATATAACTTTCAATTTATTGAAATGTGTCTTTTTTATCTCACTGCTTTTGAATTTTCAGAAATTTTATGAGTTATGTACTATTCGGCATTTGATTAATTATGTATTATGTTAAACTTGTATTGTTACTTTATATTTGAGGGTAATATAGTTCTAAAAAAAGTGTAACTATAATATATATTTTATACAAAAGGGAACAAAAACACACATTTAATAAATTAAAGGTTAAATATGCTTAGTCATATGTCACAAAATCCAAAGTAGAATTTTTCAATAATTGGGAGATCAAAATTGCTATTATCACTTTTGAAAAAGAATATTTGTTTGAGTTTTACATCTTTCTCAAGTACAACAAAGGCTAATTTCAAGATATTATTAAAAGTAGAGGGAGAATTCTAGCTTTTCACCCAAGTTAAGCAAAATAGATGAGAGTAGGGTTAGAAAAGGAAATAAAGGTAAAATAGGAGTCGTTCAGATGGACTTCACATTTTAGCATTGAACTAGTAATCGTACCCGCACGATGCGCGGTCAATATTAAAAAAATATTAATTAAATTATAATCGGGCTTGTTTGATCCTATTAGACCGTACTGCTTTAATAATTTTCAATTGTCATCTTATTTGTCAATACGATATACCCAACCCTCACCGATGTTTGAGTAGTTAATTTCTTTGTTAATTTTTAGTAAATTATTTTTTTGTTATTAACTAATTATGCCATGTGCCTTTTTTCTAGGCTACCACTCAGATTAATGTGGGGCCTTTTTCCTTGGCTTTTAATAATATATAGATAGATTATTAGCATATTACTTGTTTAATATTTTTGTCTGCTATTTGTAATATAATAGAAGATATATATTTTATTACTCTTGAAAATATATTTTTTTTATTTTAAATTTTATTATATTTTTCTCAATATATTATTTGAATTTTAATGAATAGATATACTTTTTATTTCAAAAAATAAAAAAGAAAATGATTTAAAAAATGAAATAAAGAAATTAACTAACCTAAACAAACCCTCACCCATGTTTTAGTAGTTAATTTAGGTAGTTAATTTCTTTGTTAATTTTCAATAGATAATTTCTTTGTTGTTAACTAATTATTCCATAAGGTTTTTTTTTCTAGGCTACCACTTGGCTTAAGGAGAGGGTTTTATCCTCTCCTTTTAATAATATATAAAGATATATAGAATATAGAATATTAGAAAGAAACTACTCCACAATTTGAATCAAAAGTTTTTTATTGCTTTATTTTTGTTTTTTTTATTGTAAAATAATTATAAAACTCCAATTTGAAATTGTAATTTTTTATTTTAAAACTCCAACTTGAAACTACTCCCCGATTTGAATGAGTAGTTTTTCTTCTTCTTTTTTCGTTTTTTTATTATAGTTAATTTTTTTTATTTTAAAATAATTTTAAAACTCCAACTTGAAACTACTCNATATATATATATATATATATTTTATAGATATTAAATTCAAATATAATAACTAATAATTAATTATTAACTAAAAAATTAATTAGTAACTAATTATGCCATGTGGCTTTTTTTTTATGCTGCCACTTGGCTTAAGGAGAGGGCTTTATCCTCTCCTTTTAATAATACTACTAGTCGTACCCGCGCGATGCGCGGTCAGTATTAAAAAATATTAATTAAATTAAATTATGATCGGGCTTGTTTGATTCTATTAGATTGTATTGCTTTAATAAGGGATAATTGTCATCTTACTTGTCAATACGATATACCCAATAATGAAATCTCTATTAAATCAAAGGTACTTATATAGTTAGTGAATAACTTTTTTGTTCTATATATTATTTATTGTATTAAGCAATATTTAATATTCGCTTTCTTTTTGTCATATATGAGAAGATTTATAATTTATTACTGTTGAAATATTTTTTTATTTTAAATATTATTCTATTGTTCTTAATATTATAATAAAAATTTTAATGAACAAAATCTCTGTTAAAGTAATTACGGGACTTTAACAGAGTGACTAACCTTTATGTCAATATTTCAATCATAAGATAGTTGCTGCCATATTATTTTTCTACGTTACTTCCCCAACGACTGCCTCGACTGAACAATATAAATGTCTATCAACACTTGATACTCACCGAAAGGAACATTAGTGAAGTTAAAATTTTCGTTTATAAAGTAATACTCTACTGCAAGTATACTTTGGATGAATTCATATTTGTAACTACCTAAATATAGATAGATTCCTCATTAATTTTTGATTTGAAAAGAGGCAAAACAGATTATAAAGTATTACTTTACATGAGGAGTATATATAATTAAGTAAAGAGCGTAAACTAATCTGTGTCTTCATGTTTATCCTCTTTTAAGACATTGGATATGTCGTTAAAGTTGCATTATTTGAAGGAATAAGTTAATATTATTCTTTTATGTTCTTTATCTAATACTCTTAAGAAAAATCAAGAGTAAAATGACAGGTAATCTTGCAAAAAAATAACAAAATTTCATTAATTAAACAAATTGCAAGTAGTTGTAGAGACAGTTCTCCCACTCAGCTTCAAATTTAAGAACATAAACCCGAAAAGGTTCACTTGGCCAAACCTCGTGATAAACTTCAGTTAAAATACTACCTAAAGGTTGTCCAAGTGAATCTACTAAAATTGCTAAGGCTTCCCAATCAGATAGTTTAATTTCGTCAATAGCATCAATTAGTGCATCTCGGGTAAGCTGATAATTTCCAATATGTTCAGCTAGTGAAGCCCTAAGCTCTCTAAATTTCTTTTCTCTTTCCCTTCGTTCAGCCTTTCGATTCCTTAACTTATTTTGTATCGGCCTTGGGACATTCCTGATGAATTCAGGCTCCGAGTCAGAATCATTATAGGAATAAGTCCTGCGACGGCGTACCCTTCTACGTTGTCCCCTTCCTTGACTTCGAGAACTCCCAGTTGGAGTAATTCGAACTTGTCCTTGTTCAGCCATATCTAAAATAGGACCAAGGAAACAATAAGAATGGCTACAACAACTCAATATGATAACATAGGACATGTATAATATTTGAACATATTGATGGATTTATTGAATGATTAAAATAATTCCTATAATAGTAACTTAAGTCATGAATTAAAGTACATATAATCATAAACAAATTATACAGCAAAATCAGTTTCGAGTATGATAGGATCACCCTCTAAACATTCACTTTGTTTATTGTATAGGAAGCTACAGAAAATAGTGACATGAATTTAAAATTCTTTAAATTTCTGAATGTTAATTTTGTCTTAATTTCAAGAAGAGCTCGAATGTGAATACAAAATTTAAATAAACAATTTTTGTAACTATGAATTTTGTAACCATGTACATTCGAAGATAATGTTCACCGTCAGTAGCTGTGAGTTTTGTTAAATAAACTTTAATATTTGTAAGATAATGTTCACCGTGAATTTTGTATCCATGTACATACTAAATTTATGTATCCATGTACATTCGAATTTTGTAAATAAACAATTAAAGTTTATCCTATATTGCAACAAAAAACAGTAATTTCAATAGATCACATAAAATTTAGTTAACTAATAACTTATGCAAGTCCACGGTGAACATTGATAGAGCTTTTGAGCCATCCAATATCCATGATAATTATAAAGAATGACGTTTGTTAATTACGCCAAGGAAAATCAGAGATAAAAGAAGATGAAGTAGGAAATATGGAGTATTTGTAAGCAGTGAACAAAGAGACCCTCTGTAAGCAACATTTATGTAAATCGCAAATCTGCAAACAATGGATTAAAGTTCATACCGTTGTTATCGGGAGAAAATTTAGACAGTTGAGGCTATCGTGATTTTGCAGAAATAATTTTTACCTAATATTGTGGGACATTCCTCTCTTTTTCTTTTTTCTCTCACTTTTTCTTCTTTTGACCCCTCCCTTTTTGTGTCCTTTTATATATGATGGGAGTGGGGAAGTGGGGAGGATTTGTGAAGGGAGATGTGAAGGAGAGGGTTGGGACGTGAGGAGTGTTGGGTGGGAGTGGGAAATCGTGGGGGATATATGGGAGACGTATGGTGTTTGTTTAAAAAAAATATGTATATAAAAAAATTTAATAATTAAAAAAAATTAAAATTTCAGAAACTTGAAGGTAATTTTGAACGGTTTTTCACATATTCCTAATCGGGGAATTTTGAAATACAGTGCAATTCTAATAGATATGGAATTTTGAACTACAATCATAATCCAAATATATTTTTATTTAATTTTAGGTCTATTTACATTTTTTCCCNCACATTTTACGTAAAGGCTATATTGTTAATCAATAAGAGTATAATCGACAAATGAAATGTCCAGTGTTTGATTAACCAAAGTCTTCTTAATATCTCATCCAATTTGAGGAATGTCTTTCTCTTTTCTCGTAAGGAACTTATAAGCGTCGATCACTAAATCATCATCGAATCCCGACAATTTTTTATCAGGCCAAACATCTTGGCCGAGCACACGCGTTGGCTGTTGCAATCCTCGATATTTGCAGGAATGACACACATCATATCGACTCAAGTGTTGTCATTGCACCTCCTGTTTGTGGGTTCTGCTTTGAACGCGACGACGAAGAAGGCGTTGCTCTGAGATAAATGTTATGTACTGCCATCACATGTATTGTCCATGCTGGTTTCAGATACATTATAAGAATTGGTGTCAAAGATGACATGCAATTTATCAAAGCTCCCAATGTGTTTTCCCTCCACGTATTTGACATCAATATTTGGCTGAGAAACACATAAAAATTACAAAGTTTAGGTTGCTAATATAATGATAATAATAAACAATAGAGAAACTTTCATTAGTAATGAGCATTTTTCCAAACACGAATTTATACTCGTATACAAAAACAAAGAGTAGTTATGTTTTGATTTGTTGAAGTA